AAGCAATCAGTATAGCTGCGCATCATACACTAGTGGAAATTATTATACAAAGGTAAAATTAATGCATAAAAACAACATTTTTAATGCATTAATCTAACCTAAGTATCATTAATTTCCTCTAGTGTATAGATAAGCACTATACTAATTCCTTTATAAGTCATTTGCTATCTTTTAATGTTAGTTTTGAAACTGTTGTTGTAGTCACCAGTTGCTATATCCTGTAATGATATAACTAGTGCATCCGTGCACGTATGTATATTTAGCTATGCATATTTGTTGCTGCAGTTCACGCACACTACAGTATGATGAATGCATATTTCTTTGTCATGAGTTTACTATTATGATAAACCTTCGTCAGAGCTTTTCAGATACAGTGCTACACTACTACTAATACAGTAATACATTTTTTGGTCGGTGCTAACAGGTAAAATCATGTGATGATTTCTTGTAGGCTATGGCCTACGCCTTACGGCCTACCAATTGAGTCTCAAAAATAGGCCTATATAGGCCTTAAAGTTCTTTTTTATTTTAGTCCATTGATTCAAAGAATTCCTTAATTCAGGTGCATGCCGTTGTGCTGGGTGTAAAAAACGAACACCTAGAATATCCATCGTGGTGCACTGTACATTTTACAAGTTGTTTTGACCTTTTGCAAACAAACCGAAAAAAGGTAAAGAAAACCATATACTAATGAAAAATTAGTGCACGGTTTGGAATCAGAAAATATATCTGGAGTTACTGGTTTCCTCGCTGATAAATCCGAAGTTGATGAAAAGTTACTAAGTATCAATCAGCTACTGTACAGTACCGTATATCTCTTGTTTGTATTGGTCATCAAGACAGCAGATGACAACCCTGGGTAGGAGGGGGGGGGGGAACATGCCTTTGATTGGAAACATATATTTATTCAGAGTTTATTCTGTCACTGCTCCCATGGAATATATGCCACAAGGGTTGCCACTAATAAATAAAATACAGTAACGTGCTTCAGTATAATATGATGTATGATCAGTTTAGGCTTCCACAGCTCCAACAGTATTCTAATGTAAGTAAACTAAACCTATTGATATTTGCCATCCATACTTATAAGGTGTTGGTGTTTTATCCACTTGTTTAATCATTGAAAAATTCAAAATGTTCAGTTCATTTCAAGAATGTTACATTTCTATAATTCATTAAGATGAAAAACTCAAAGTAATTGTTTAGAAAATGTTAGAAATTATAGTAAAAGTAAATCAAGAAATGGTGTGGTCTGTTCAGTGTAGAACATTATGCAAGCTTCCAACAGAAATATTATTTTTTATAATTTATACCATTTAGATTTAATTACAGTTGAACTTGCCCAAGTCGAATCCAAAATGGCATTGAAAAATTGTTCGACTTATACCCATTTCACAATAGCAGAAAATGTTACAACTTTTAACAATTATTAAGAAGTTGTAACAAGTTTGATATTCCGAGATTTTTTGTTCGTTTCACACATGCACTTTCAAACCATGAGAAAACTCGGAAGAATAATGACTAGGCCTAGAGGCCTAGGGTAGTACTAGTAGTAGGCCTAGGCCCGAATTAACAAGATTATAATTATTCCATGGTCCTTAGCCTTCGGAGAGTAAAACGAATTCAACTCCTAGCTCGCTTGCTGTAGTCGAGCTGGCGAGAAAGATAGGCCTAGGCTAGATAGGCGCAGTCGGGCCGCCGACACCGCCATTCGTTCGAACTAAAAAAAAAAAAACAGCCCACGAAAAGGTCAATTAGGGGCATGCGCAACAACTCAGAAGATTTCGGGGAAAAAACAGGCCTCGTGATGGTCTGCTTTTGTTCCGAGATAACTCAGGGGACCCCTGTGAAAGCTCGGAAAGTTTTACAAGGATTTGCTTTCATACTTATCCAAACCTGGTTACAACTTGTTAATATTTGCAAAATAGCATCAGTGTGAAATGGGTATTAGATATAATTTGACTTACAGATCATTAGTGCAAACACAACAATTTGGCATGTATATAGTTTGACTGTACATCAATTTTCAAAAACCTTGTTAAATTTTCCAGGGGTAGCGCCAGTGGGGGTGTGCCATGGATTGATTAAATAAGCCTTTCAATCCCTAAATTTTCATATTTTTTTCGGGGGCTTCACCCTCTTGAAACACTTTCGCAATGGTAAAATATACACTTGTAAAACATGTTTCTGAGAGCAATTCAGCAGCTGTATTTTTGTAGCACAATTCAAGAAGCAAAGCTTTGAAATAACTGATAGTTATTTATTTTGAAATTTAATAATTTAGTATCATGTAATTATTTATTTGTTAGAGGAAGTATAAACAATGAGTGTGTGTATAGGTGATGTATTCAATTATTCAACAGCAGCTTGTTATCCTATAAAGTACCAGATCACTCAACAGACAGACCAAATCTAAGGAAGTTCAGCTTTGAAGTCTATAATTATGATACATTCACACTGAAGATAATTATATTCTTATATGTATTTTAAACTGAAAATAACATTATTTTTCATATTAGAATAATCTATTTTGAGGAGTGACGGCTCTAGGATATATATTTTTTTTAGAGGGGGAGAGCTAACTGTCTGATGGAGACATGAGCCAAGGGATCCCCCTCCCAAATGAGATTTTTTAAAGAATGGGAACCTCTGTACGGTCGGAAATGGCACCCTTAGACTGTGACAGACATGTGTTGGCTTGATGTGGGCCTATTTTTATGGTCTGACTGCCCGACGAGCTCCGTCCAAAAGGGGGGGGGGGCTTGACCTGTCCGGTAGGGGGACCTTAAGCCCACTGCCACTGACACTGATTTTGAGTAATTAAAATCATCTGCTTTTGAATAATAACAATCTACAACTTCTATCGAATTACTTTTTAAATTGAAAATAACATTGTTATTTTAAATTGTATAAAATTGATAGCATATTAGTTACACTAGAATTACAAATAAATATAGTAATTATTATCATAAAGTTGAGGGATGTAGTTGCTTCTAGTTGACAGAATTTTCAACCTAGATTCATGTTTTTGTGTTTGTTTTTTATTGATATTGTAGTTTGCTTTGTCAGTATTCAAACATTATTACCTTGATTGCAGCATTTGTTATAAAATACAATTTATACATTACATTTATATGCACCAGAGCATTTATTTATAACACAAAATATAATGAAATAGCAAATTGTTTTTTTTCTAGTAATCCATGTAATCTTGCACGTTCAGTTTCTAATCGAAAACCTTTCTATAATGTATTGACAGTGGATGTGTTCATTTAAAGCTGTACAGTTGTATAAATTGCTTTTGCAATACTGAAATTAATTTACAATGACGTGTATAAAGTCGGTCGAGAAGTATATTTTCAGATATTTAGGAGTTCACACTACTTTTTGTAATAGTATACTACTGTACCTGTTAATCCATCTTTTTCAATATCCCTGCCAGTACCTTTGATAATACTCCCTCACAGGTTCCCACCAATACCCCTTGTGGTGTCCCATAAGAAGTAAGACCACTGTGTTTACAGTATAGTGTTAGTTGGTACCATCATGGTTACACTGTAAGCAGCACCCCCTGCAGACTTTACTCACAATACTGTACGTTATTCTTTACATTGAATGTTATGAGAGCTTCAAGCAACTTTTAAAAAAAATGACCTTGAATAAATAATGCAAGAATGATTTCTTGGGCCTTCTTCAAAATAGAATTATGCAGGTTGAATTTTTAGGTAATTAATGTAGTATATGTTTTTGTTTGTATGACAATATGGTGATTACCATCAGCATGTTATATTTTTACTGGATTGTTGAATATAATTCTACTTGTGTGTGTACATTATTTGTTTCGTTGTGCTTTTTTCAATATCATTTACACAGCAAATGTTGTAGTCAGTAGTACACAGTATCCATGGAGATTGTACCAGTTACAAAGTTGATAGTTTAAATCAAGTGTCAGTTCAGTTGTGAGTGTGTATTATACAACTCCCATTACCCATAATGAAATAGTTGGTGAACATGAAAACAATTGTAAAACAAGTACAGTTTATAGAATTTATTTATAATAAAAAAAAGGCTGTAACTTAACCACAACAAAAATGGTTAGTGATACGGAACTTGACTATAAACATATTAACATGACATAAATACTACTGTATCTAAGGGACTATCCTACATTCTACCACAACCATTTTTATTTAAATTTTGCGATACAAGTTTACGTGAGCAAAGTGGGCATTGTTGGGTGTCACTCAAAATGTATCAAAAATGGTCCAAGGGCGAAAAATATGACAATTAGGTGCTGTAAAAACTTATTTAATTGATTTTATAGATAGATATTTCAAGGTCTATGCAAAATATTGTGGCAGTAAAAAAAAAAAAATTCCTACCTACCTACCCTATATTTTGGGCCTGCTACACTAATATAACTTTTTTTTTAGGCCCAACTGTAATAAGGTATTTACATCATAAAATATATACATCAAAATGTTGTGCAGGTTTTCTAACAATGCAACATACATGCCCTAGACGCATTCAATGCAATCCATGTATTACAAATTTGATAATTAAAGACAATTCTTGGAGAACGCATCTTTCTTGTTGATCCTAGTAACAAATCCTGCCTTATATTTGTTGCATTAACAAACCCACTGATCATACAGATTACTCAAAATACTGATAGACAATAATGAACAATAAATAAATGAATAATGAATTCAAAGTGTTTAATAAAATGTATGATTTTATATTAGTTTGAGTGGTTACAATACTCTGTTGTTTCTAAAGTAAACTAAGCTTTTAAAACTGGTGGTATTCATTATCTAAACTTGATAAATTCTTTCACATGTAAATTATTAAAAATATAAATAAATATATATTCAATTTTGAATTTAACCGCTCCAGTTAGAATTTAACCGCCAGTTACATGGCCTATTAACATATAGAACAGAACAAATAAGAATAATAAAGTAAGTATGAGATAGCACATAAGCCTGCGATTGTGTTTTCCTGATTTCAGCATCTGATCAAATCTCTTCACGGTTCCTCCAAGTAACCCATGCGTACTATCAAATTCACCATCCTGACAAAATAGCAACAAACATTACAGGACTTAATGAGAAAAATATAAAACAACATCACATCAAAATAGGAATGGTGGTGATGATGAGAATGATGATCTAAGGTGATGTCAATGGAACGATTGATTGATTGATGGTCAGGTTAATCATAGGGAGGATAATCAATTGGGGCTGTAGCTCTCGGTGATTAAGACACTTGTCTTACAATCCCAGGATTTTTACTCATGAAACAACTCCTTTCTATACTTCAAAATGTTTGCTGGCAGACCATGTAGTTAGAAATCAAATCATAGCAAATGTGAAGAAGGGTACTAACCATTCCATCGAGGTATCTATTCTGATCATTTGTTTCACTCTCTATGTCCAGAGCAAGCTTTAAAATAAAAATTATTTAGAAATATCAGTAGATTAGCATAACTTTCACAGCATAAATTCAAATCTATAGGAGGCTAGTAGCGTATGTTAATTTTTTGATGAATTTAAATGAAAATGCCCTCACTGTCTTTATTTATGCAGGGGTATTTAAAACTACTAATGTCTGGAAAATCATTAGGATAAGTACAGACACATATACTCGCTGTGCAATACAGCTGGTGATATTTTCAACAAAATTTGCATTCATTTATTAATCTACAGTGTACTGTATTACAAATTTTACACAAGATAAAATAAACCTTGACCAGGAGCAACACACGGAAATTAGATTTTTCAAATGTGTGGATGGATTTCTAAATCTAAATTATAGCATAGGTAATTTATAGGCTCTACTTATTTATTACAGACCGATTTTAAGGTTGAAACTTTTGACGCTAGGTTTTCAGATAATCTGTTGTTTTCCGATTCCAACATGTCCTCTGTAGAGGCTGCTCCTCTTCCTATAGTGAATAAAATTGGAATTAAAAAACAGAACATTATATAATTTTTAAATAAATAACTGAATTACACATTTTGGTATTGATTACACCCATTTTGGCCATAAACCATTTTGGTCATGAACCATTTTGGTCATAGACCATGATGTATGTAATTGTAGAAAATGACAAAATAAACGTTTTGTGGTTATTTTAAGGATTGTTGATAGTCCTTCAATGAATATAAATTGAATTGACAAGAAAATATACAAGACAATGTGCTCCATACCAGTGGTGGTGCCAGAAATTGTCTGTAGGCCTACCACACATTGGCGGCTCTAGGATACATTTTCTGGGGGATAAGCTGTCCAATGG